CGCGTGGGGCTGCACGGGGAGAGCAGCTTCCCCCACGAGGTCCAGCTCTTTGACCTGCGCCTCCTGTTCCTGCTCACGGCACTCCGCCCCGAGGTGCGCCAGCAGCTGTTCCAGGAGCTGCAGGGCGTGCCCCTGCTCACGGAGGCCCTGCAGCTGACGCTGGGAGTGGCCCCGGGCCAGAGCCCACCAGAGCGCCTTCCTCCCCAGCAGACCGAGCGGGCCATGGAGGTCCTCAAGGTGCTCTTCAACATCACTTTCGACTCCGTCAGGAGGGAAGTGGACGAGGTGAGGGCTGCCCTGCGCCCGTGGCTGGTGCCTCCTGGACCTGCCGCGCTGAGGGGCACCCTCATGTGTCGGATGTCAGCCTCGGACAGGACGCTCAGCCCGCAGCAAGGGGGTGTCCGTTCTGGGCAGTGGCATCAGGGGCGGTTCCTGAGGGCGGGGGAGGCTGTGTGGCGAGAGGCTGAGGGCAACTTCCCTACACAGTGTGATGTCGTTCAAGGGACCCATGGCCATTCTTAAGGGGGGGATGCATTAGAGGAGACAGCACGCGTGGCCCAGGCAGCAGGACGTCGCTGGCAGCAGGGGACGGGTGTGGCTCTCTGCCACAGGAGCCCCCTTCTCTCTGGTCAGGACGACGCTGCCCTTTACCGGCGCCTGGGGACTCTGCTGCGGCACTGCGTGATGGTGGCTGCTGCTGGGGACCGCACGGAGGAGTTCCACGGGTGAGGCGGGCCCGTCGTGCTGGAGGGAGGGCACTCACCTGTCTGGATGGTGGTCCCAGCTCGCCCTAGAGCACCCACATCCATCTGGGGGGAACCAGCATCAGGGGTTTCCAGAAAGGCTGGGACAGGAGCCCGGGGGAGGGGCAGGGCTGTGCCGCGGGGCCCTGGGCAGTGGCAGCGAAGGCCTGGTCTCTCCCCACTTCCCAGTGACCAGAGCTTGGGCCGGTGCTGGCTTCCGGAGATCGTCTGGGATGCTTCAGCCCAAACAGGGTGGCAGGCGGGGCGCCCTCCTCGGGGACCCTCCCCGAGTGCGCCCCTGAGACCAGTCCCCCCTTCAGCTCCGGCCCCTGGTTGCTGGCTCGTGTCACGTGTAGCCCCAGCAGGTGCACCGAGAGCCGTGCTGCACAGGGGCCTGGCCTTACCCAGTCCCCTCCCTCTGTCCCCAGCCACGCAGTGAACCTCCTGGGGAACCTGCCCGTCAAGTGTCTGGATGTCCTGCTGGCTCTGGAGCCGCGCAAAGGCTCCCTGGAGTTCCTGGGCGTGAACATGGACGTGATGGGCGCCCTCCTCAGCTTCCTGGAGAAGCGCCTGCACCAGGTGGGGGGGCCCTGCGGGGCTGCCCAGGGGCCCTGCTTCCCACTGGCTGGTGGGGGTCAGCTCAGTAGTGCTTGTGTTTTAGATGTTTGAGGGGTCTGGACCTTGGACTCAGTGTCACTGTGCACAGGCATCCCTTGGGGACCAGCACCCGCTGTCCCGTGATCCACAGGAACCCCGAGCCAGAGGCTCCTGAGGCCTGTAGCTGCCCGACACCGGCCGGCGGGCGGGCTCTCACCGGCCCTCTGGGAGCTCCCAGGCACTGTGAGGCCACAGAGCCAGACGGAGGGTCAGTGGGTCCCTTGGAATCCACGTCGCCCATGTGCACTGAGAGCTGGTCACACACCTGGCATTGGACGTGGCTTTGACTATCTGTCCCTGTCACTGTCGCTACCGCTGCTGGTGTTGGGGTGCAGGGAGGTACCCAGGCAGCGGTGCGGGGCTGCAGACGCTCCCTGCAGAGGAGCGGGTTTGTCCTTGCTAGTTGGCCACCGTCTTCTGAGGGCGACTTGGTGCCAGTGGTGTCCTAACAGCGTGAAATGCTGTGTTTCCCACAACCCTGGTGTGTGGGCGAGGGAGTTGGACTCGGAGCAGTCCAGCCACAGAGCACATGTGAGGCCTGGGAGTCCCACCCGGGCCCTCCGAGACCAGCACGTGTGCGTGTGGCCGGCCTGGGGTCTGCACACCTCACCGCCGGCTCCTCCGCAGACGCACCGGCTGAAG